GGTTCATGTCCATGAGCTCCATAACTAAGGCAAGGCGACCAGAGGGTTCATCGTAGAGTACCTCGAGATAAATACTCATCTCGTACTCTGTGGAGGAGGAGGAGGAGAATTCACTTCATGCAACTTTATTATATGCCGGTGGCCACCAAGGCGGCGAAGGGCTTGGATTTCACGTAGATTGTTAACCTAGAACGTCAGTCGATTCCACCAGGCTTTTGGAGCTCTCACTTGCTCAATAGATTGGAAGGTGTTCTTCATGCACTTAATAGCATAGTGACGATTAGTCCTCAGCGACTGGGCCTTGAGTACCTTATCACGGCAACAACAACAAAGACTCGATTCGGCAGTGGGCCTCTGAGGCTACCTCGCTGAACGTGCCTTCACCTTTCTTAGCAACAAGTTTGTATTTATGCATAGAACATAGTGAGGCACCAGCACTGCTCAAATATCAATTCTGGAGAGATCTGTGGCGAGCGAGAAAAAATGCGGGAGAAATGTCGTGGGGTGGATTTGAACCCGGGGCCAGGATAGATCGAATATGGTATTCGACTTTTCTATCACAAACTGCCGAGGTTCGAAAGGGCTACAAACCTCTGATGCGTCTTACTCTTGCCTTATATGAGAAAGTCATGTAGTGTAGTGCACTTTATTGCACGAAAGTACAATTCGTATTCCCAACACAGCCGCTACTTTGAATATGATTTGTGTCATTGAAGGACCCTTGTGTTCACTTTGATATGAAGTTATGTTGATAGTTTCACGATGGAGGTGATGAATTCACTGTTTCTTTTAAACCCACCCTCTCCACCCTGGGGGAGTTTTGGGGACTAAGCTGTAGTATCAGTATTTTCAAGTTGCCGGGTTGTATCTTGGCTTACTAACTGGTCATGTTGATCTGTTCATCTGATCGTGGCGACTGCTGAGGTTTGGAGATCGGGATTTAGTATCCCACTCTACTACTAGATGGATCAGCATTTGAGGATCAGGTGGTCAACACACCAGTAGAGCCAACTACTACTACAGCTTTAGTCTGCACATTTCCGGGTTTGTGGTTTGGGCCAATTAGTTATTATATGATGTGTAGTTGAGTTCTGTTCTGTGAAGTACGGTGTAGGGGGAAAGGATTGTAATTTTAACAAACTGCTTTTACCAAACTTTGCTGCCAACTCACTTTATCAGAGTTTTTGTTACATACTCGACAACGGTGTCTACTGCTACTACTACTCACTAGGTGTAGAATGGGGTTGAAGGACAGACTAACGGTATACCTAGGAAAGCAGGGACTAGTACCGGATGATATACCCAAGGTTATTGGATGCTTTGTGGCTGGTAAATACATAACATGGTTTACTATGATTGGCATATGCATGCGGTATCAACCACTACGGAGTGATAAGGGCTACTGAGGAATACTATGGCGCTTTAGTTCGGAATCCGAACTTTGGATCTCGTTGACAATTTTCCATTTTTTGCATATTTTCCATTTTTTCTCTCCTAATTTCCGCGTGTCACCACAGTGTCGCTTGTTTGTGGTGACACACACTGAAGATGTCTTCCATTGCAGACTTGGTATCACTTCTATCCTGAGCTACTGGCTCGGTCCGGTGTATGGCGAGAGAGGCACGCGGTCGTTGATCGAGCATCGGAGACGAGTATTTTCTTGGGCTAATGAGAGGTACGCGTGGACTC